AGTACAAACCCCCCAGACTTATGTGTCAGGTTTCAAAGCAAAAAATATTTTTCTTCAAGGGACTAAACAGCAAGTACCCTGAATTGCAGTTTGTGTACATACAAGTTTGACTTTTATTCCCCACGCCAGTATATCACCTGTTTTAAGACTGATTTTCCCTATACACTTTGCCCTTGCTAATTAGGAGCATTTACTGGAAAAAGCCAGAGCATCATAAAATCCCTGTCCCTGTTTTTTAACAAGTAAATTGAAGCACACGGAGACTAGATTTTCCCCTGGTATGCAGCTTGAGATAACTAGAACTTGCAGTCAACTGGAACTGAAGATGCTGTGGGTCACTGTAAATTATGGTGAGAGATGATGAGTGGAATACACGCAAAAAATACGGTTCTCAAAGTTAGACAATGCCATTAAAAAAAGTGGTACATCAGGAAATCAGGGCTCCGGCCCTCAGCACCACTGCAACCTTGTGATGTGAAACAAGACTCTGCGGTGCCCATCACATATACCATTCAGGCTCACAACTTCAATGCGTGACTTCTTAAAAAGTCAAGACTCAATGCTGGAAATTCTTAGCCTATAGCTATGTCTTCTTAGTCGCTTTAATCGTAAAATAGAGAGGACAAATGTGTCTCTTATTGTGGCAGGACCTCTGGGGGATATCACTCAGTGGTATCTGGAAAGCAGCTCTGAATCCCTTCTCAAACGAATAACCCGATTAAACTAGTATCATCTATCAGGGATCTGATATTATACCTCTCTGTGGTGGAATCTGGGTAGCTACAATTGTGGCCCATTACAGCAAAATATTTAAATCTTTATTTTGCTATTTAGCAAGCACCAAAGAAAACCTTCCTCTCACTGGAACTTCCTTTAACCCTTCCCCCCACCCCCAACACCTCACTTCCCTTGGAAGTGCTCCCATGTTGCTTGCTTTTGCAAACCATGTGGTGCCAACACATGTCAGATCCTGAGGGTGGTCATTTGGCTACATGCCGTTGCTGTCTTATGCTGAACAGCTGGCACAGGGAGATGTGTTTAACTCTAGGGGTCCTCTCTCTGATCCACGCTAAAGTCAAATTCACTCAGTAACAGAGCAAGCTATTTCCTGCCCTAATGGAATGACAGAGCGCTACTGATGGAAAATGAGCTGATGATGTTTTATCTTTTGCCAGCATCCCCCGACAGCCAGAAACATAAATTGAAATGCTTAAGCCAAGCCATATATGATCCCCCTCTTCGAAAAATAAACAGAAATCCTGAACAGGCATTATGGAATCTCAATGGCAGAGTCCTGGGGTGTGATTTGGGGCTTGATTTGTATTTTCTTGGGTGACAGCCCATCTGGTCATCTTTCCTTTGGCCCATAAATGCTCTTTTGAAAGGCTCCCATTCCTCCAACGGCTTAATTTCTCCTCTGAGCCATTGTGGGGGGAAAGCAAATGGATGGCAGGAAGGTGCTCAACAGTATTTCGTTCAGAGTGAAAAAGGCCCATTTCCAAACGAAACAAATACAAATAATCCTGCCTTTACAACCGAGGGTGATTATAGAAAACCCCTTTTCTAAGGCTGCAGGCAGCCAAGAGCCCTTCATTTCTCACTCCTGTTCATGGCCAGGAACTCAAATCCTCATGCCCTCTCTAAAGACAGACTGGTCACGCATTTGCATTATGAAATAGCTTTCTCGGCAAGAGTTATAGAAAACATAACTGTCCCTGGGAGACAGAGGGGAGGGAACTGTCATTATTTGAGGCTGGATTTCATTAATGTGGCTGACTGATGAATTGCTTTCCTGAACTACAAACTGCACTCGAAGACTAACGTCTGCTGTGCTGAGGATGCAGCTAGTTACTATCAGTTAACCAAACATACTAGGCAAAGGAAGCAAGATAGTGCCAGGTCCTTATCTGGTCCCTAAAAAGTGGTGCACATAAGGCTCTTTTTTACAAGCACATTTTGTATATTTAAAGTTTTCCAGATTAAGTACATCACCCAGGAAAGTACAGCATCTAGTTACTTGATTTGCCAATTCAAAAAAATTCACAAATTTGTGAAAACAATCATTCACATGGAATTTTATGTGTAAAACTTCAGGTAGTCCAAGAAATTACTTTTGAAAATTTGGCCGCATTTAAAGTGAAATATTTTAGTTTTATTAAAAGCACAGATTAATTCCCACACCTTAGCCTAATGGCTAATCATTCCCCTAAACTGCTGGGAAGGAAAATACAGTACCATAATGACAGTATGTGTGAGAAAGAGAGAGAAAAAAAAAAAAGAAAAAAGAAAAAAAGGCCATGAACGAGCATCAGCAATACACTGTATGATGGACCTAGTTTTACTTAACAGTCTCACAGAAATGAAATCAAAAAAGAAAGAAGCAAATAGAATAAATAGAGAAAAAGCAACCTGGATGTTCTGATTTCTCATTAGAGTCCAAGCTCTTTCTTTCGATCTTGTCTAAAATCATAACTAACAAAGTGTTATCCTTATTGAAATCACAGTTCATAAACAAATACAAGTAAAATTAAAATCAAAATTTGATGAAAAAATATTGTATTGCATGCCTCCTATGACATACCTGGGCAATACTACTTTAAAACATTTCTTCAAAGAAAACAAGTCAGTTGAAATTCAAGGTGCACCACATCTCTAACTACATTAAGGCTGAACTAAGAGAATAAACTATGAATCATAAACTACGCATAGATGTAATTTAAAAAACCTGGACTTTTAAGCAAATAAGTTTAAAGTAACATAGATGTCACCTAACCCAAATGGAGGAGAGAGTTATCATCCACCTGCTAAATTCCGCTGAAAGATATATATTTTTAATGTCCTGTGAAGCTGCTCTGCCCTGAACAAATGCTTTCTGAGTCAAGGAAAAGGGCCTGGTTACAGCTGTATTTATTAATCTTGACCCCTGTCTCATACTCTTGACCGAGCCATCTCTCCAGAAAAGCTGGATCTGCAACTACTGTTCACCTGAAAGTCTCTCTGTTGAAATGCATACACAGCCAAGCTCATAAAAGCAATGCAGTGCTATCAGAAGTTTTCCTCCCCAGTAAAGTGAGGGCTATGTTTATTTGTGCTGCCAAGCAGACAGTATCATGGGGTGAGGAGGGCAGGAGAAGCACAGGGAGGTTTTCTTTGCAAGTGATATTAACACGGCAGCTGCTGCATTTTTAAGAAAAGAAGTTTTGTGTGTTGATGAATCAACAGAAGATGACAATGACCTTGACAATGGAAATGGTCTCTAATCGTGGGCATGCAACCTGTCCACCATCGCCAGTATCATTTATAGCATGTAGACATCAGAGGACTGGGCAAATTACACATCATTAGCAGCCGTCCCTTTCTCTTAAGGATTGGTCTAGAAGACTCTCTACCAATGACCTACTTGGCCCCTTCCTTTCAGTCAGGCTACCCGAAGGATGGGACAGTCCCTCCACAGGAATTGCACGCTACAGACTAGTAAAGAGATCCAGTTTTACTGTCACATGCTCTTGTGAGAATCGGGTTTAAAAACCATTAAAACCTAAAAAGTCACAGCAACAGAAACAATTGTGGGAACAGCACTGTGCCTAAAATTCATGGCTTTTTGAACTGGATCAGGAATCTGTGACCTAAAGTGCTTCCTAACATAGTGGTCTAAGGTTACAAGTAGGGAATGTCAAACATGTCAGGAATCACCACATTGCTCTCAAGCATAATCTATGAGGGACAGATACGATGGGTAACACTGCAGCGGGTCTTCTGAGAAAGTGATCCTTGAGCACAGGGGCCTTGGCCTGCTGAAATCCACAGAAGGATACTTAATGATAGCAGCAGGATAAAGATGCCATTTTCGTTTTATAAGCGGGTAGGGAGAACTTTTTTGCCAAGCTAATATATAAAAAAGAACTTCATAATTAAACAAAAGGATATAGAAAAAGATGTGAAAGCTGCATGTAAAAAGATTCTTACGCAGTTAATTCACAGGAGATGCAAAGATTAAATTTTATTAAAAAAACAGGACTTAAGGCATTTTAAAGTAACACTTCTGTGATTATTGCTACCATTTCAACTCTAATACTTCTTGCAGTATTTCTAATTAAAATATTGCAATATCTGATAGTGCCCAAGAGACGCAAACTGAAATGGACTAGACAGTGGCAGGAAGCAACACGAAACATGTTTTTCTTTCACCACTTCTGAGCCAACTCCACTTGGATGCAAATTGAAAAAAAAAAAAAAACAAAACCCCACCACTAAATTTAGGACTGAAATTATAAGGGACCCAAAATAACCGTTTGGAAGTTAAGAATCTCAGAGGTCTAAATAATAATGAATAGAACATGTCTTTTAAAGCATGTTGGAGCTGGTTCTCAGCTGCATTACTCCAGTTTTCCGCTGATAGAATTCCTGTGAAATCAAGTCAACTAAGTTTCACCTGCCTAAAAGTGAAGCAACTAAGTGGTAAATCAGAAGCAGGGTTTTTAACCCCAGTGTGTCTTCTTAACACTTCAAGCATAAGAGTAAATCATAAGGCTTGAAGCCAAATAAAAAGTTATCAATCATTCAGTGCTGAGGCATGCAAACAATATTACTGGGGCTGGTGTTTATTGGTGCTCTTAAAACATGTTTAAAATTAGAAACATAGGCCAGAATATAGTCTCATTCCATGGAACTGCTCCAGATTTACAATAGTGGCGTGTACATATTCACTCCAAGTTTACATCAAGATCATTTAAAGACTAATCCAAAAGTCACTGAAATCAATGGAAAAACTTTCAGTAGATTCAAGAGGCCTTGGATCAAATCCTACCAGAAGTATTTGGCTCAGTGACATTGCAAGGTTTCATACTTTTTTTTTTTTCCTTAATGGCCCTTGTAGAGCAAATTTGTTCAGTCAGGAAATCAAAGCACAGTACCATGCCAGTCACAAAAGCTCAATTTCTTTTCTCAAAACAAGTCCATATTCTTTCTACTCCATTACTCCGCCGCAAGAAAAATCTGGCATGAAGGAAGGTGATCGTTTTGGTTATTCATGACTCACAGTAGAAAGCAGCTTTTCTTTTATCCTCTTACACTGAGTTATAATAACTTGTAAATCTTGATTTTTTTACTGAGCAAGACATATTTCACCATGAGAAATGCATCAGTATTGACACATTTAGCATCCATTAAGGCATTATTTTTATGAAATTATTTTATAGCTCATAACCACCGTACAAAAGGTGCAGAGAAGCCTTTAGAAATCAAACATAAAAGCATAAGTAAACAGACAAGGTGTGCTACCTAAGATGCTAGGAACAGAATTTATCATCGCTTCTGCACAACTGCCAAAAAAAGCTGAGTAGACGTTGCACATGAATAACTGGAGGCAAAATTTGACTATAAAATCAGTAAAAGGATCAAATTTCAAAATATACGATCTACCATATCAAAGGAGATCAGTGGACACTATATGCAGGTGTTCTGCTTCTGCTGGTGACCAGCTCTACTGGATGCTTCAGAGGAAGAGACATATTATACAGCTATTAAACAAGGACAATTAAAGAAAGTTTTCCTCAAATATCTTGTTGGCTTGTATCTGATGTCTAAGGTGTTACAGCCTTATGTTCCTCTATTTATCTGCTCTTATACAAGTGGATATCATCGTACATAAACAGCTACCTTTTCTTTAATTCTTCTACTAAAATAATAACCCTAGTGTTATTTTGTAGATTAGTCAGAAATCAACTTGAAACCACACAACAAATCAAAACTTTACCTAGTTTTCAAATAGTTGCTTTTCTGATTCATGAAATAGTCTCTTGTTCTTCTATTCTGAAGGGATAGAATAGAAGGGATAAATAGGGGCTTTGGTTCCCTTTTGTCCATGGTTTCATATAATCTTCACTTACGGGCTGCACTTAAGACTCCTCTTTGAAGAACCAAATTATTTCACCTCTACTTGGCCCAAATGACACACAGGTCTCCAAAAATGCTAACTACATTTAACTGCAGTTAAAAGTTTAGTTTTGGAAAAAGATGCTTTCAGTTGTCACTGTTTCAGACTGGCTAGCCCTGCCAAGACACAAGTACGAGCATGTGCATGTGCTGAAAGCTAGCTTTACATTAACATTCCTCAAAACTTCCAAAATAGGGGTCATAGCTGAACTACCTTTGTGCTCCAACAACACTCAAGAGCATGACAATCTCTTCAAGATCATTATGGTCTACTACAGTTTAAAGCCAGCTGAATTGTACAGGAATTCAAAAAAGGCACACAGCCATTTTTGTCCCTTCTTTTCAGGACCAGTGCCAATGAGCAGAGATCTAAGGATCAGGGCCATACTTTGGGATAGGCTTCACAGCGGGCGTGTAAATAATTTTAAATCATCAGTCTCATTACTCCAGCTCTGAATTTTCATTCCAGAATCTAATTTGATTGCCTTCAGTGCTCAGTATTGTAGAAATAAAACCTGGAAATGCTTATGGTGCTTTCTAATCTATTCTTCTGCTAGTGCAGGGCTCTTTAATACATATACTCGTCTTTTTTCAGAGGTCCTATTTTAAATCAGTCATGCACTTGGGCTAACATTCTTCTCCTTTGGAGACTTCTCCCTAAAGAAACACATCTCTACAGTAGGAAATCTTCCCTGCTTTGCAGGAGAGGTAACTTACTGCTGCCATGGAATTGATGCGGTCAATGTAGTAATCTGGCCAGCTGGTAGCAAGCTTATTAGGATCTTCTTGTTCCTGAAACAGAAAGTTAAACAAGGTTACACAAGAAGCCTTTACAGGATTAAATGCCACTGCAGAACCACCTGGGATTCTTCACTGCGCTGTTCTTTATTGTGATATCTCCCCCCATATTCTTGTATAATGCACATAGATGTGTGGCATTTATTACAAACATTTCTGAAAGTGTAATGTTAGCACTGTCACCATGGTGCGTCAGATAAAAAGAATCCCCTTCAGCTAAGGTTATTAAACACAGAATAATAAAGTTTGATGGAGACACAGTTATCGTTGGCATCTAAACAGCAAACCTCAGTCCCTTAAACATACTAGGTTTCCAAGTAGAAGGATAGCCCATTTACAGATAACTGGTTTACATTTCGTAGCTTTATATTGACAGATCTTATAAATTATTTTGCCTTTCTACTGCTAGGGCGATGGTGGGATTCAAAAACAAAGGGGTTTAACATCTGCTATGGAGGAAAAAAAAATCAAGTCAAGGAACCTGAAAAGAAGCCAAAAGACTGTCTCATTTTGATGTGATAAACCAAAAAGAGGTTTAGACTGGACATTAGGAAACATTTCTTTACTGAGAGGGTGGGCAAACACTGGAACAGGCTTCCTAGGGAGGTGGTCGATGCCCCAAGCCTGTCAGTGTTTAAGAGGCATTTGGACAATGCCCTTAACAACATGCTTTAGCTTTTGGTCAGCCCTGAATTGGTCAGGCAGTTGGACTAGATGATCGTTGTAGGTTCCTTCCAACTGAAATAGTCTATTCTATTCTATTCTAAAAAGTTAAGCACAACCTCAGAACATCCAAAGGAACAGAACAGCATCCCCTCAATTACAGTAGGAGCAGCGTTAATCTTTCTACCCCTACTTCCCAAATAATCCACCTGAAATCATCTTCACTAGACTAACCTCAACTAAGCTCAATTTCTAAAAGAAGACCTACCTCTACTCAGGAACCAATTCTTTCTTGTTCCTTGGCTGCTCAATGGAAATGAGATTTCATTCTAATGGGTCTATTTATTTCTAGATAGGTGTAACAGTCACCGGCAAAATGAGGATTGGTGTCTAGGATCCTAATCTCCCATTATAAACTGCAAGTAACTCATATTAAGACTCCTAGCGTATGATAAGAGATTGAATCACTTGACCCATCCTAAGGATGTCCAAAGATGTATGAAGACTGTGTGGATCTCACCAATGTTGTCTGTGTATGAATGCTTACTCATAATAGAAAAGTTACTCTGGAAGATACACAGAACAATATTAAATGTGTAGGTCTATCAAAGTACCTCAGCTATTCCAGAACTGTTTGATTTAGAGATGAGAAATAGCTCTACGTGCTCCCTGCTGAGCCACATTCAGAAAATACCTTGCTACCTGACAAGTTCCTGCCAGGCTACTTACCAAAACATGGCAACAATTCTGCACAAATCAAAATCTGCATATTTAGAATTAAAAACAAAATCACAGCTGAGACTTGGATCTTTCCTTCCCCTCTCTTCTTTCCACTGGTCTTTCAACACGTAAGCTAAAGGAGTATCTCCATTCACAATAACAACAAAACAGAAGTATCATATAGTAGACTACCACTGTATGAAAAGTATGGGAGGCTGGCAAAGTGGCAAGAGATACCAATTACATCCACAGTTGCTATGCACCCACCACGTCACGATAATAAATGGTGCAACTGAGAACAAGCTGACCTTTCTCAAATTAAGTGAGAAGTTCTGCTGCTTTTCCTTACTTCCTTCTCCTGGCCACAATCAGCAGCAATCTGATGGACCCAAACCCATGCCAAATGGCACATTACAGAAATATGCAACTCCCTACCAATAGCCAGTTTGAACTGCCACACCACGTTATTGGTAGACTGCCTTTCGCTGCCCCTTTTCTGTGTAGAATACGCAGTGGCAGCCATAACCCTGACAATGGTTTCACACTCGGCAGACCTTAACCTCCCATGCAAAAGTCAAAATATGACCTTGCTGATGGAAAAATAAATTACAACATACAATAGATAAATACAGCATTATTTTTATAAGATAATCTTATCATCCCCAAAGAGAACAATAAAGATGGGGAGCTAATCCAGAGGTAGTGAAGTAAGGTCATTCTGCAGGGAACGGGGTTGAGCCACCTGTCTGAAGTGCAAGGTGTGCTCATATGCCCTCCTGAAATTTTTCTCGGCATAGAATTATGGAAGTGCAAGTGACAGCTATAACTGCAGAGTACAAGTGACAAGAACATTGTCAGAACAGGGAATACGTATGTTCCCTATACTTCTCCTGCCTCCTTTCTGAACTCCAAGTAAAGAAACAAACACACGTAAATTAAGCACTGCCTGGATCCATCCTTTATATCCCAAAATAAGCTACAATACTTTTTCTCCTTAAATTCTTCAGGGGAAAAAAAAAAAAGTATAAATGCCAGAATGCCACAACTAACCTTTCTAGATGTCTAGCCTAGACATGCAGGCTGAAAAGCATCAGGATAGATACACTAAAAAAATCAGAATTCTGAATAATTTCCTACCTGAACCCAAACCGTTAGAAATTTCACAATCAGAACCAGCGACAAGAAGACTCTAATCCCCTAAAGTATATCTGTATATGTGGTTAGCTTGGCTAATGAGATAAGGTGCTTGGTGTATCCTGCTTTTGACCATTCTCCGTCCACTACAAATTGGGCTGAACTTGAGCCTATAAGTCTTATATTTTTGTTTTGTTTTTAATTAGAATTGGGAGAAAATTGGTTTCAGTGTAACACAGCAAGTATAAGCTTTTTTCCTGAACTAAAGCCCAGACTGAAGCCGTACATTGCTGAGGTTAAAAAAGTTTTAGCAGATACTCCACTATGCAATCCCCACTTTCTGAAGTTCTTTCAACCCAGAAGCATATTAAGCAGAAAAGTCCATCTAATTTCAGTCATCCTCCACACTCCCTGTGCAGATCAGAATTTTATGGCTGTCAATGCGTGTTTTACTTCACTAGAATGAATGTGATTATGTACTTAAAAGCCGGCACTCTATTTCCATTATGAAGCCCCAGAAAGCTACTTATATTCGGGATGAACATAGAGATTTTTATCCAGGCCCATGAAATCATTAGGTGGCACAGTGTTATTTATAGCAATCACCTGGGCAACATTTTCAAAAGAGAGACAAGGTCACACCTGTAGCATCAGAGCCATTGGAAAAAAACCATTTCATTGCCCAAATTATGCGAGTTCTGCCCATGGTAAGAAACTGCTGTACCATGTTTCCTCTCAGAGAGGGGAAGGTAAGTCAAAAATGGAAAGTAATTCAGGATGGGTGTTTGCTGGGGTTTTTTGTTTGTTTTGTTTTTAATGTGTTCAGGGTTTAGACTCTCAACTAAAACCTCAGAGAAAACTGCAAGGCAACTTGATGATAATGGCAAAACCTTGCCCGTGCTGCAGGAGACACAGAGAAGGAAAAAAAGAAGCCAAACCAAAAAATGAGGCCCTAATATACAAAGCCACATAGGTATCAAAAGCTGGAAACAATAACCCATCTGTATAAGGGAAAACATTAGCTGAAGGAATCTATTAAAGCAAAGCCTTCTTTTAGCTCCTTGAATAGTGTAAACATTACATTAAAAAACAGACGTCAGCTTGTGGACTTTATAAGGGGCCATATCATTCTTCACTGGAGTAACAACTATGTAACTGCTGTGAAAACAGGATCTTGATACTATACAAGCCTGCAATATAGCCAAGGTATTATATAGGCTTTGACACTAATTTGGACAGGCTCCATGCCTTGGTGGAAAGTGGAACTTATGACTTCATCCCAAATAGGGGAGTTCTGCAAATATTTGGACCATCTGAACCAATCAAAATGAAACAAAATAAAACAAAGTATTGTGTGCACAGCTCAGCTGATCCTGAAAGCCTTTTTGCAAATCCTGGGAGACCTGGTCCATTGGGCAAGCTGTTCTCTAGAGAGCAGAGACCTTTAGTCACTGCCATGTCAGTGGGACAGCATTTGTGATACAAAGACTGCCATCATAACTGACATAATCAAGTATTATAGACCAGTGCCTTTGTGGCGAGACTTTCTTCAAAGAAGTGCCAAACACTAGTGTTACAGAAATCATGTGGAAATGCCAGATATTCGTGGCTGAGTGGATCATGAAAATGAAAGATGCTGTTTATATGGTGGGTGCTTCTTTCAAGACTGAAACCATCTTGAAAGAAATAGCACAGAAAGCCTGAACAGTACCTGCCTGCATTGAAGCTCTTTTGTGGTGACCACTGGGTTTCAGTTTCCAGTGATGACGCATTAGTATTTTACTCTGCACCAAATGCACCCTAAACAATGTTGAGCAGTTCTCTAGAGCATGTCCTGAAAATCTGAGCATGTCAAAGCATTAATAAATACATCCACAAAATTAGCAACTTTACAAGGCTTCTTTCATACAGATGGAGACTGGGAGACATATATGGTGACATGACAATTAAAACTCATCCAGGAAATCACTGGCAGAGTTAGGAACAGACACTGATCTGACACTGAATCCAACAACACTCTCTTATTTCCACCATCATTTATATCAGGTTGTTTTTACGCAATGTAGACAAATCCTAACTCCCTGGGACCAGCAGGTGCTTGGCATCCCTGGGTGTCCAACCATTACAAGGACTTTGCCACTACCTGCACACCCCCCCCCATGATAAATTGCCAGGGCTGATGACTCATGAAGCCTTCTAACATGTTAACGAAAATAACACTTCCTCCTTGAACAGACGCATCAAGAAATACACCATATGTTATGGATTTCATACGACAAGCGTGGGTACTATTGGGATGACAGCTATTCATTGGCAACATGACTTCCTTCTCAAGCCCGTCTCTTCAGAACTGCAGACAGCTGACCTTACTGCTTTGCACTGTTCAGAACAAAATGGGAACAAGCCACATACCTGCTGCTGCAAAATGTGGGTTTAAAATCTTTCTTGGGCAAGGAACCATAATACCATTCATTGAG